AACTGTGGGGCGGCTGTGGCTCAGTGGTTAGAGCAGTCGTCCTCCAATGGGAGAGTTGGAGGTTCGAATCCACCAGCAGTCACATGTCGAAGTGTCCCTGGGCAAGACACTGAACCCCTCATAGCCTCTGATGTGTCCCATCAGTGTATGAATGTGATAAAGCTCTGATTAGTCTCTTTGGAATGATTTGTTCAATTAGCTTTGTAGAGATCTAGTATAGAGCTGTATGAATGGGTAAATGAGGCACAGATTGTTGTAAAGAGCTTTGAGTGTCTTGAAATAAGATAGAAAGGTGCTGTATATAAGTACAGTCCATTTACTATTCAACTCCCTGTGGACTCGGCAGCTGCCATGATTCATATCGTGGCTCTGGTCGTATGTTTACCGATCACTTTTCATCTAAAAAAGCCATTCCTTCTCTCTGGTCTCACCGTTCGCACACTTCTACAGTACGTCATCACAACAAACCACATGTGAAGTGAAACAATCTTTGACCTGTTTCTCGCTGCTTACGTCACACGATGAACTCACGTCATCTGAAGGTGTCTCTCCTCAACACCCGCTCACTAACTAACAAGGGCCTCATTCTAAATGAATACATCACTGACAAGAAACTGGATTTTCTTTGTCTGACTGAAACTTGGCACAAACCCGTGGACTACTTTTCCTTAAATCAGACCTCACCTCCTGGATTACCTACATTGAAAATCCCCGCTCTGAAGGGCGGGCTGGTGGTACAGCAGTGATTTATAAAAAGGATATCAAAATAACTCCAGTAACTCTCCCTAATTTTCAATAATTTGAAAGCATTGCTTTCAAACTGCCTGGTTCTTCTCCCTTGGTCACTGCTGTAATCTACCGCCCTCCTAATCTTAACCCCTCCTTTCTCTCAGAACTCACTGATTTTCTAACTCAGATAAAACCATCTCATCATCCATCCTTCTGCTGGGTGACTTTAATTTGCATGTTGACAATAACTCCAAACCTGCAAATGTTATGATTAATCTCAGGAATTGTACTCAAATTCAGACCAGGGCTGAGAAGGATTACAGACACGGAGTAAAAGTTCAGTGAGTTTATTTACCGTGCTGGGGTAAAGGAAGTCTGAGTTCCTGGAAGGGAGGGGAAAAAAGGGGAAGACAGATTAATGATGGGTAGGAGAATATTGTTGCTATTTAGGATAATTTAATCCTTCTCTTACAGGTGGATCTTCGAAGGCAGACTCAGGGAGGTAGGCGAAGTGTCTGTTGGGTGAGTGAATCCCTTGTATTTTCCAAGTAACTTGATGAGTATCTTGCAGGTGGCGGCTGATGGAGGAGTGTCCCGCTGGGTGATAGAGTTCCACAGGGAATGAGTCCAGTTTGGAGATGATTCATCAAGGTCTTGGTTCTTGGAGGTGAGTCCTGGTTTTGCCTTGAAATCACAGGGAGACACAGGTTGATCAAACACAGGTTCACAAGAGAAAATACTAAAATGGCTGTCTCACAGTACCCAAGGTGACTGAATAATTCAGCGAAGACTGGAACCTCCTCCAAGGCTTAAGTAGCAGCTGGACTCATCAACCGGATTGAAGACAGGTGGTTGCTCAGGAACTCCATCACCAGCACTCAGCAATTGCAGGGTGAGTACACACAAACGGCACAGGCCTAACAGCAACGGAATTCCTGGATCTCCTCAACTGTTTCAGCATCACTCAGCAAGTTAACTTTCGTACGCACACTCAAGGCCATATTCTGGATTTGATCTGCTCCACTGGTCTCACAATCCTTAACCTCTCTGGCCATAACTTACATATATCAGACCACCTTGCCATCATATTTGACATAAACTTCCTCCCTGTACCCAAAACACAACGTGAAATAGTTTTCCGCAATCTCAGATCCATTAACTCTTCTGCCCTTTACGCTCTTGTCATCACCAAACTGGCAATCTCCTCTCCCCCACTGACTGACAACTCCTCAGAACTGGTCACCTATTACAACAGCACTCTCTCCTCTAGTCTTGATGAGCTAGCCCCTATTAAAACCAAAACTGTCTCCTTCATCCACGCTGCCCCCTGGTACACCACTGAGCTCCATAAAATGAAATCATGTAAGCATCAACTTGAGAGACTGTATAAGAAATCTGGTCTAACTGTCCATCTCCAAATGTACACAGATTATATACAGAAATACAAGGATGCACTAAACTCTGCCCGGTCAAATTACTACTCCAGTCTCATCCACTCTGGCTCCAATAACCCCAAACCTCTTTTCTCAACTATCAACATGTTTTTAAAGCCCAATAACAACATTTCCTCATCCTCTAACATCACCAAATGCAATAGTTTTCAGACGTTTTTCAGTCCAAAATTGATAACATTTATGGTTCCATTGATCTCGTCTCTGCTCACACAGCTCCTCCAAATTCACCTCCCTCCAGCTCCATTCAGCAGCTCTCGCACTTCACTCCAACTTCCTCTGCTCAGCTGACTAAACTTTTATCTGGTATCAAAACTACCACCTGCTCTTTGGATCCCACAGTCTCTCAAGTTGGCAGCCATCACCCCGATACTAAAAAACCTGGTCTTGACCCTGAAAACTTCATAAATTTCCAGTCTATATCCAATCTTCCCTTTCTGTCTAAAATTTTAGAGCGAGTCATAGCTGATCAACTTCAGACCCACCTCAAATCCAGTAGCTTGTTTGAACCATTCCAGTCAGGTTTCCGTCCAAAACACAGTACCGAAACAGCTCTTCTCAAAGTTACCAACGATCTCTTCCTTTCCTCTGATCCTGGCCAGCTCAGTGTCCTCATCCTCCTGGACCTCACTGCAGCTTTTGACACCGTCAGTCATTCCATCCTCCTGTCCCGTCTGAAGTCCAACCTGAACATCACTGGCTCCACTCTGTCCTGGTTTCAGTACTACCTCACAGACCGGCAACAGTTTATTCACATCAACTGCTGCTCCTCCTCCATAACCCCTCTATCTCAGGGTGTTCCCCAAGGTTCAGTGCTTGGTCCTCTCCTTTTCATCCTATTCATCCTCCCCCTTGGTAAATCATCCGTCGTCATGGCCTCCATTTTCACTGCTATGCTGATGACGTACAGATTTACATTTCAACTATATCCATAAACCCCAACATCCACTTCACCCTCACCCATTGCTTAACCTCACCCATTTGATATCAAAATCTGGATGAAGCACAATTTTCTCAAATTAAATACTGACAAAACTGACATACTCGTCATTGGTCCAAACAGTGCTACCAAGTCGACTCAAAACTTCTGCCTCAACTTTGACAACATCACTCTCACTGGGGGAAGAATCAGTTTTGTGTTGTGTGTTTCCTTGACTGATGAAGCCTTCCGGATGGATGGTGAAATGTTTCAGCAAAAAAAAATGTCCAGATGACCTGACTGAAAATTGTTGGATTGTATACCTGGATTATTGAGCATGGACTTTGTTGGTTTTGAACCAGTTTGACATGAATGTCGACAAGGAAGAGGGCTGGCAACAAAGGAGGGGTGTGTGCCAAAGACACCATCTTAGCACCAACATAACTGGTTTGTTCCACTTTAGAGAAAGCTGTTTGGGGGAAGAATCAGTTTTGTGTTGTGTGTTTCCTTGACTGATGAAGCCTTCTGGATGGAAGGTGAAACATTTCAGCAATAAAAAGAAAATATCCAGATGACCTGCCTGAAAATTGTTGTATACCTGGATTATTGAGCATGGATTTCTTTGATCACTCTCACTCCATCACCACTCATTCGTAATCTTGGTATTCTTCTCGACTCCACTCTTTCATTTGAATCACATCAAACAAATAACTCGGACTGCATTCTTCCATCTCAAAAACATAGGCGGCTGTGGCTGAGTGGTTAGAGCAGTCGTCCTCCAATGCGAGAGTTGGGGGTTCAAATCTACCAGCAGTCACATGCCGAAGTGTCCCTGGGCAAGACACTGAACCCCTCATAGCCTCTGATGTGTGTCTCATCAGTGTCTGAATGTGATCTAAAACAATGATTAGTTTCTTTAGAATTATTTGTTCATTTAGCTTTGTAGAGATCTAGTATAGAGCTGTATGAATGGGTAAATGTGGGCACAGATTGTTGTAAAGACCTTTGAGTGTCTTGAAATAAGATAGAAAGGTGATATATAAGTACAGTCCATGTCCATTTACCATAGCACGACTCCGCCCATAACTCACTTTCTCCACTGCTGAAATCCTAATCCATGCCTTTGTCACATCCAGAATCAACTATTGCAATAGCGTTTTGTACGGTACACCATCCAAAACTCTCATCAAACTGCAATACGTATATTCAAAACTCTGGTGCCCCCTTCTCACCCACACCTGCTCCCGTGAACATATCACTCCTGTCCTGCAGAAACTCCATTGACTCCTGTCACTCAGCGCATCCATTTCAAGATCCTCATCTCATTCAAAGCCCTCCATACCTGACCCACCTACTCCATCACCACACTCCTTCTCGTTCCCTCCGCTCCTCCCATGCCGACCTTCTGCCTCTCCACTGTAGGACCAACTTCTGAACCTGGGGAGACAGAGCCTTCTCCATCGCTGCCCCCTCCCTCTGGAACTCACTGCCCCAACAGCTTCGTGCCTGCTCCGATCTCTCCACTTTTAAGAAAGAACTCAAAACCCACCTGTTTAAAATCACTTTTAATGTTTAAATTTGCCCTTTTTAAATGTTTTACTGAGTTTATATGTTATGCATTGTTGATTTTATTTTTTATTAATTTTTTACTCATGTAAAGCATCTTTGAGTATTTAAAAAAGCGCTATACAAATAAAATGTATTAGTAGTATTATTATAATGACCAAAACAACATAAGATGATCTTAGATGAAGACATGAAAGGTGGCGGGTGATAAGCATTCTTTGAAGAACACTAGGCCTTTATTTAAAGAATGACTTTGTTGAGAAAAATATCAAGTAAATAAAGGCTGAACCAGTGCAAGACGGGATGTGGTGCGTCAGATTACACAAACAAGCAGCTGTAGAACCATGGGACTTTTATTAAAACACTTTTTCTTGTTAATACTTTTTCGGCTTTTAGTTCATCAGCAGTTTTAATGAGCAAACACAAAAACAGAACAACATCAACTTCCACTTCTCCCTCGTAGCTCCCCCCTCCCCCCAAACAGAAACAAAGCTCTTTTCACTGTAAGACATGGAGTTAAGAATCGTTCAGGGTGTTGTGTAGGATGGTGAGTCTTGTCCTCGGCATTCAAACTAATCTTTACCTTCAGGTGAGTTTGATTGCTGCAATGGTGCACTTCAAAGAAAAAAGTACCAAAAGTACATAAAGTTTCAGACGTACACGTACAGCTCTGACGGCCCTCCGAGTACAGTGCGGTGGCACAGTGTGCACAGCTTTCTGCTCCGTCACAAACCCACAGATAAACGCCTCAATTTCATCTCAACTCCTGTTGCATGAAGAGAAAACTGCAGCCCTCATTACAACACAGTGCTTGTTGTGGACAAGGCAAACACATCTCTTTCCTTTGCTGACCACAGCTTGGGAACGTACAGTTGCAGCCTTGCCCACAGTTAAAGGAACATACGTTAGCGATAGCAGTGACACTCATGTTCTTAATGCCTCTTCCCATTCTGGCTTCGTTCCAAACTAAAGCAGCAGAACACAAACACATCCTGTAAAGTCCAGAATACAACAGAACTTTCCACATTGTCCCACTCTACAATCTTGCAAGTTTTGTGAGTCATGATTAGAAAAGACATTTTCTTACAGGCAACAAGATGAAAAGTGCAACTTATCTGGACAAAGAGAAGTGGTTCAAGTGACCCAAACCCACACAGACCTCCATTTTTAGATCATCTTTTCCAGCTGTGTAACCCTGGGCCTTAATAAAAACACTGACATCAACAGTTATTTCAAAACTACTTCACACGTCTGCTGCAGTGTACAGTCAAGTTCAAGGCACAGTGAAGAGAGAATTCAGCCCCAAATCAGCCGACGTTCCAAATAAAACATACATGGTGACAGCGTGTTACAAACGACTGCTTCAGAGCCAGTCGGTGGGAGCCGTTAAGTTAAAAGTAGTTAGAAGCCGTACAGCAGAAATGGTCGTGGACACACCGAGACGAAGCTGAATTTTCTGCTCCTCGCCGTCGGCTCTGAGACCTACTCAACCTTCCAGCTAGCAACTTAAAGCAAACAGTCCCGTTCAGACGCTTCAGCTCTTCAGTGTCCTTCAGCTTCTCTGAGCTCTGCAGAGACGGGAGCTTCACTGAGTTGGGTCTGCAGGAGGCCCCGTGACCCTGATGGACGAGGAGCGTCGCCACCTGTCTCCAACACCACTGGTGACCTACAACACAAGCCAACATGGGACTTTTCACCTTTTACTGTTATTTTTCATCAGCTCTGGCACATCTTATAAAGACACATGAGAATAAAATTCACAAATAGAGTAAAATGATTTACAAATACTTTAAACGCAGCATGTGATCAAAGCTTTAAGGGCAACAGTTAAAAACTGAACATTTTACTTCTTACTTTCCACTGCAAAAGGTGAAGGTGGACAATAATGTTTCTGCCTGTGTTTGTCTGTTAGCAAAATATCTCATAAACCATTGGGCAGATTTTATTGAAACTTTCAGGAAATTATTACTTGGTGTACATCTACCATTGATTTTTTTTTTACGTTAATTCTATTTGACGTATTTGGAGCCGTATAAATAAAGAGTTTTGAACTGAATTGAATTAACCTGGTCTGTCTGCAGTCCAGACCTGAGAGTACTCAGTCCATCATTGTGCAATGAAAATACAACAAACTGCTGAGTCCTCAGATTTCAGGCAGGAATGTGAAAATATTTCTTCTTTTAAATAATCTATAATCTCTAATAATAAATATAATAATAATAATAATCGAGCCAGAGCCATGCCTTTCAGAATGAGTGGACACTCTGGTAGTTTGCTCTGTGCTTTGACGTGGATTGCCGGTTTCTGCCGGTTGGTTCTGCACCCAGCTTCTGTTCAGCATGAGAGCAGCTGCTGTGATTTTTCTGCTCCACGCTGCTGGAGCCTTCAGCCCCACTCAAACTGCAGTCGGTCCGTCATGCCAGGCCCGGTGCCTGAAATCCTTCGACTCTAGTCACGTGTGGGGGTCCAGAGCTCTGTGGACCTGAAGTTTATCCATCATCATCATCATTTTCAGAACTTTGTCTATTTGGAGTCGTTGAACCATGTTAATGCATCCGGACCTGCCCATCCCTGCCAACTTCATGGATTTTGGGTTCTAAGTAATCATGTCTTTATAAATTATTCTTCTTATGCTCTGATTAGTCTCATTAGAATGATTTGTTCAATTATCTTTGTAGAGATCTAGTAGAGTGCTGTGTGAAAGGGTACATGAGGACACAGATTGTAAAGAGCTTTGAGTGTCTTGAAATAAGATAGAAAGGTGCTGTATAAGTACAGTCCATTTATCATTTATGGGGGCCAAGTGCCACAACAACAACTCCTGTTGATATTGTGGCACTTGGCCTCAACATCAATCTGCTAAACTCCTCAACTCCTCATCTGCTACAAAAGACACAAGGAAATGTCAAATAATAATGTTGTTACTGCTGTCTGGGATCCAGCCTAACCCTGGACCTCCCACACATTACAGCACACCAAATGATTTCAAAAACATGTCAGGACTACATGTGTTGCACATTAATGCACACCGCCTCTTTGTTCAACTGGTGCTTATGTAAATGTTATTTATGAAACTTGGTGTGGTTATCCAAATTAATTTTGGATAAAGATGTGTCAATTGACCAATTTAATATCTATCATTCTGATCATCAAAGAAAGGGAGGTGGGGTTTCAATCTATGTCAGATCAAGCCTAGATGCTCACCTGGTGTCTGTTAAAACACTCACAAATCAGTTGGAAATCCTGCCAATAAACATCAATTTGCCCGGAGGCCAAACTTTAACTGCTGTGGCCTGTTAACCGCACCCCCTCCCCACCCCACTGCAACTTCTGAGGCCCTATTGTCTTTAACGGACTTCCTAATAAATTTACATTTCAATGAAATTGTCCTTGCTGGTGACTTTAACTTAGGCCCTATTTACACGGACACGATGGGGGGAAACGTAGGTTTTTTCATATGTTAATTAGAGGAAAAGATCCGCATTGACACGGTTGTATTTTGGGTTTACATGCATAATAAAATAAAAATTAAACCTGATGTCTTCATTTTCAACGTTAATAGCATGCAACATGTTTAGCATCATTTTAATCACATAATTTGAATTACGTAATGTCCCGATAGCTTCATTTAGCTCAGAGAGCTTCATTATGTATCTCAAACTTAAGATAAATACTGTTTATTATTATTAAACATTATTTAGCACATTTAGATGTTATAGTACAGCACGACGTGTGCACGTGCCTCATTCTATAAACAGAGACATCAGAACTGGATCAGACTGTGTCTCTTCCAACACAGATGTCGGTCACAGCACCTGTAATCTGACGTAGATTAACTATGAGATTAAAAACATATTCCATCAGTCGAGGTTCTGAAAGCAGTTTATTCACCGCCATGTTGATAGAAATATAGCATCTGTCCGCGCGTGCGTGTGCGCATGTGGTTTAACACAAAGCCTCAGCAGGAGATGTTTACATTATCAGCGGGGGGTCAGAGAAAAACCTCCACTCTGGAAGGTGGGTTCAGAAACCTCCGGACTCAAAGAGGGGGGCACTGGTGTCGTGTAAATGATCAGCAGAACCGCAGAGAGAAAGCTGCGGATGCACTCAAAATATGCGCCGTGTAAACGGCCCCTTAGACTGGAAGTTTCCAGTGTCTGAAGAATAAAAAAAAAAAGTTGTTTTGTCACTCAGTCTCACTCAAATCATCGACTCCCCCCACCCCCCCATCCCCCCAAACAAAAAATGCCCTGGAAGATTGTCTATTTTAGATCACTTTTTAACAAATAAACCTCATAAATTTCTTAGGTTGGGTGTTTTTTGCTGACAATATGAGTGACCATTGCGTTTTCGGTGTCATCAGGGACACTAAACTGCCTCACACAAAGACCAGATAAATTCTAAAAAGGGACATGAAGCATTTCAGTGAACAGGCCTTCCTTGGGGACCTGTTTCATTTTGACTGGCAACATAGTCTGATGACGTGAGTATTGCCTGGAACTACTTTCATAACAGTTTCATCTACTTTTTAAATAAACATGCCCCTTTTCACCAGTTCAAAATAAAAGGATGAGACAGTCCCTGGTTTACTCCTGATCTAGTTGACCTCCTACATAGGAGAGATCAACTTTGGGCTAAAGCAAGATATTCTGGTTCAGACACTGATTGGTTGCATTTTCAACAGCTGCAGAATCATTGTACAGCCTCCATCAAAGCCACAAAATGTAAATACTTCTTATCTCAGACCTCCAAAATCTAAATGACCCTAAAAGATTCAGAAAAAACATCAAATCTATCCAGCAGCTCTCTTTCATCTGACCTGCCATCACAGCTACTTGTTAAATAACTTCCTGTGTCAGATAAACCTGAGATCCTGAACTGTTTCAACAAACATTATGTCACTACTAGTTCCTTGTGGACATCAGCTACTCCTCCTTTAAGCCAAACATCTTCAAATCAAATCTCTCCTACAAGTCAGTCCTCAGTAAACCACACCTTTTCATTTTCACTGTTTTCTGTTAGTGAGGTTAAATTGTAAAAAAGTCTAGACTCTAAAAAATCTGCAGGCCCAAATAACCTTCCACCTTATTTCTTAAGGCTGGCCGCTCATATCATCGCAGTACCAGTGTCTCACATCTTTAATCTGTCCATAATCCAAAATACCGTTCCAAATGCTTGGAAAACAGACTTTGTTCTGCCTTTGCTGAAGGGAGGTGACCCCACCTCACTGAACAAGTATCGACCAATTTCTAAACTCTATATTCTTGCTAAGGTTATAGAAAAATTGATAAACTCTCAAGTCAAGAAGTATTCGGTCTTATTTAACATCTTACCTCCCATCAATCTGGTTTCAGGAAATGATGACTGCTTCACTGAAGGTTCTTAATGACGTTGAAGCACTGGATGCTAAGGATTATTGTGCTGCACTTTTCTTAGACCTGTCTGAAGCTTTTGACACTGTGGATCAGAACATCTTGTGTCATAAACTCTCAGAAATTGGTTTCTCAGATCACACCATTGGTTGGTTCTATAATTATCTCAGATTGGAAGCAATGCTTTCAACATAATGGCTCTTCTTCCAGCTATCTAACTGTTAACAACGATGTATCACAAGGTTCAGTCTTAGGACCCACCCTCTTCACTATCTACATGAGTAATGTAGGTCAGATCATCCCTCATACATCCTTACATTTCTATACTGACAACACAGTAGTTTCCTGTCGAGCTAGAACAGATGCTAAGCTTTTCCAGTCTGCATTCAGCATCATCCAGTCAGATTTGTTCCATCTCAAACTTGTGCTAAATGAAGATAAAACCAAAGGGATGCTGTTTTCAAATAGGAAGTTGGTTCCAGCAGTTCTTCCTTCTATTTTATCTATGAATGGTGTTCGTACTGAGTTTGTCCATCCATCCATCCATCCATTTTCTTTACCCGCTTATTCCATTTTGGGTCATGGGGGTTGCCGGTGCTGTCCGGTCTGGCAATCACTGTGCGAGGGGCGGGGTACACCCTGGACGGGTCGCAAGTCCATCACAGGGACACATAGAGACAAACGAGACAAACAACCATTCACTCTCTCACTCACACCTAGGGACAATTTAGAGTTACCAATCAGCCTAACATGCATGATTTTGGTCTGTGGGAGGAAACTGGAGTACCCGGAGAAAACCCACGCATGCACGGAGAGAACATGCAAACTCCACCCAGAAAGGCCCCTGGACCGGGATTTGAACCAGGGACCTGCTCGCTGAGAGGCAGCAGCTCTACCAGCTGTGCCACTGTGCTGCCCCGATTCTTATAAATACTTGGGTATTTTGGTCAATTTGCATCTCTCCTTTAAGACCCATGTTGAAAACTTGGTAAAGAAACTGAAACTGGGGTTTTTTTACAAATAGAAATAGATCCTGTCTAACTCTGAATGCTAGGAAACACCTTGTAACTGTTACATTCCTTCCCTCCACTAACTACGGTGACATAATTTAGATGAATGTTCCTACAAGCACCCTGCAGATGTTGGATGCTGTCTATCACGGTGCGCTAAGATTCATCACTGGCTGTAACTACCACAGCCATCACTGCACCCAGTATTCACTGGTTAACTGGTCATCATTAACTTCACACAGACTCTCTCACTGGTACATTTTCATCTTTAAATCACTTCTTGGTCTGTTGTTTTCATACATCTCCTACATAGCACTGAGTGAGTGCAGCTACAGCGTGCGCTCTCAGGACATAATTACATGCAGTGTTCCCTCAGTGCAGACCCAACTAGGCAAAAGGGCCTTCTCTCACTCTGCTCCTGTTTCCTGGAACACCTTGCAAAAAGATCTGAAGCTCTCGACCTTGACCTCTCTAAGTGGCTTCCTTCTTTCTTCTGTTAAGTTCCTGGGAAAAACCAACGCAGACATGTTCCTGTTTTTAGTATTTTATATTGCTTTATAATGTAGCTGCTTTTCTAAAAATATAATTTCTTCTATTTACTTTTCATTATATATGCTTTTTACGTGATTGTCAGCAGCCTGAACATGAGTCATAGTGAGCAGATGGATATGAATACAGCAGCATAAAGGCAAGAGATCAGCAGCATGGATATTGTTACCTGTTATTACCTGAAGTGGTGGAAAATTTCTCATGATAAAATGTGAACGAAGAGAATGGCCAGGCCGATGTTGAGCAGGATTACCATGCACACCATTATAGTGTTTGGACCCTTGGAAGAAAGTACAGAAAGAGACATGAGTTCCATGCATTTATTAAATGACACAAATCCAATAGAAAGACTGTTTACTGGAATGTTTCACCGTGGGACTGATATGTTGGAGCCTCAAAGGTGCAGAACGCTTTGATGACATTCTTATGTTCCTTTAAACTGAAGCTGTGAATGTAAGTGAATTTTGTAAATCTTAACAAATGTTTCCCAAAGATATTCCTTGTTCTCGCGATTCTATCGGCCGTTAATGAATGACAGTTCTTGTTGCAGTGAGATTGGATGGATCAAATATTATGGGTTTCCAGCCTAAAGATGCACTATAACTCTTGGGATTTCTTGAATGCTCTAATAAAAATATGTAAGATCCTTTCCTCTTTGATAAACAGGTTCTAAACTGTTTGCCTCCGACTTCGTTCACAACTTGCTGTTAATTGCTCCTACCGGTAGTCTAGGTTGACAAATTTGGTCAAACTGCACTTGAGACTTGTGCGTCACTTGTCCAGTCCCAAACACGGTGGTAGACTGGCCATGATGACATGCAAACTCTACAGGGCTTGCAATAATTTGAAGAACACATACACATACTTCATGTGCACACCTGAACCTGGCTGCATGGCTGGTAGAGGTTTTGTGATGACAGTAAGATTCAGCCTATATCCTGATGCATGCTCAATAATCCAGGTAGAAAAAGCTAAAAAAAATTAAGTCTGGTCCTTTGGACATTCAAAAAACAAAACAAAGCAAAAAAAATTAAAAAGGCAGAAACGTTTTATCTTTCATCTGAAAGTCTGAGGTGCTGTATTCAGCTCAGTCTCTTCAATAGCACCTTCTCAGAGTGGATCAACCAGTTTGCTGCTGACAACCAAAACCAGCTGCTCACATGATCAAGAAGGACCATCAGCCTAACAATGTATCATTGGCACACTGATGGCTGTGTGCTATTCACAGAGGGCTGAGTGATACTAGCAATAACAGCATTGTAAGAGGGGGACAGTTGAACCCGGAGGCCTCCACCCCTGTTTAATGATGGACGGTTTCTTTTCACAAAGATGGCCTCCTTTACTCCTCTCTCAAACCATTGTTCCTCTCTATCCAGGATGTGAACATCTTCATCCCAGAAAGAATGACTGCTGGCCTGGATATGAGTGTAGACCGCAGAGTCCTGGCCTGATGGTGTTGCTCTTCTGTGCTGAGCCATCCTTTTGGCCAGTGGCTGTTTAGTTTCCCCGATGTAAGACTGATCACAGCCCTCCTGACACTGAACAGCATACACAATATTACTCTGTTTGTGCCGGGGCACTGGATCTTTGGGATGAACCAGTCTTTGCCGTAATCTATTTTGGGGTTTAAAAGCCACTGGGACGTTGTGTTTAGAAAATAAACGTCTCAGTTTCTCTAATTCTCCCGCCAGACCTAAGAGCTTGTACTTCAATAAAACCCTGATTTTTGCGGTCATCACAAGTTTCAAGATCTGTTTTATTTAATCAGTTTTTGTAAAAATGTAGACTTGAACCACTACAATACAAAATGACCACTGGTCTGGGTTCCTCCTTTTCACCTGATGGCTGACTGGAGTCCTGTTTGGGTTTCTTCTCTGCTTTCAGGAAGGCCCAGTTAGGCTATCCACATTGCTATAGAGCCTGTCTTGTGTGGGCCATGTTCCTCACCTCTATTGTTGAGGTGGCTTACCGGCTGCAAGGTTGTCGGTGCCTGTCGCGGCGGCAACCCTCGAACCCGGTGGTGGACACTGGCGGTGAGGGATGCTGTCAGGCTGAAAAAGGAGTCCTATCGGGCCTATTTGGCCTGTGGGACCCCGGAAGCAACTGATGGGTACCGGCAGTCCAAGCAGCATGTGACTCGGGTGGTCGCTGAGGCAAAAACTTGGGCGTGGGAGGAGTTCGGAGAGGCCATGGAGAATGACTTCCGTACGGCTTCGAGGCGATTCTGGTCCACCATCCGGCGTCTCAAGGGGAGGAAGGCAGTACGCCACCAACAATATTTATAGTGGAGGTGGTGTGCTGCTGACCTCAACTCGGGATGTCGTGGGTTAGTGGGCAGAATACTTTGAAGACCTCCTTAATCCCACTGGCACATCTTCCACTGTGGAAGCGGAGCCTGGTGACTCGGGCTCTCCAATCTCTGGTGCTGCGGTCAATGAAGGTGGCAGGGTCCCAGGGGTGGATGAGACTCGCCCATAGTTCCTTAAGGCTCTGGATGTTGTTGGGTTGTGTTGGCTTACACGACTTTGCGATACTGCGTGAACATCGGGGCAGTTCCCCTGGATTGGCAGACTGAGGTGGTGGTCCCCTTATTCAAAAAGAGGGACCATAGAGTGTGTTCCAACTACAGGGGGATCATGCTCTTAAGCCTCCCTGGTAAGGTCTATTCGGGGGTTCTGGAGAGGAGGGTCCATCGGATAGTCGAACCTCGGATTCAGGAGGAGCAGTGCGGTTTTCGTCCTGATCGTGAAACAGTGGGCCATCTCTATACCCTCAGCAGATTCTTAGAGGGTGCATGGGAGTTTGTCCAACCAGTCTACATGTGCTTTGTGGACTTGGAGAAGGCGTTCAACCGCGTCACTCGGAGAGCCCTGTGGGGGGTCCATCCATCCATTTTCTTCCGCTTATCTGGGGTCGGGTCACAGAGGTAGCAGCCTAAGTAGGGAGGCCCAGACTTCCCTCTCCCCAGCAACTTGGTCCAACTCCTCCGGGGGAATCCCAAGGCGTTCCCAGGCCAGCCGAGAAACTTAGTCCCTCCAGCGTGTCCTGGGTCTTCCTCTGGGTCCTGATGGAACGTGCCCGGAACACCTCCCCAGGGAAGCATCCAGGGGGCATCCAAACTAAATGCCCACACCACCTCAACTGGCTCTTCTCAAAGCAGAGGAGCAGCAGCTCTACTCCAAGTCTCTCCTGGATAACTAAATGTCTCACCCAATCTCTAAGGGAGAGTCCAGCTACACTGCAGAAACAAATAATTTTTTACCGCCTGTATGTGCAGTCTTGTTCTTTCAGTCAATACCCAGAGCTTGTGACCATAGGTGAGGGTAGGAACATAGACCAAATGGTAAATAGGGAGATATGCCTCTCAGCTCAGCTCCATCTTCACTACAATGGACCGGCACAAAGTATGCAATACTTAGGACACAGGTGTCAAACTCCAGGCCTTGAGGGTCGGAGTCCTGCAACTTTTAGATGCGTCTCTGATGCCACACAGCTGAATCAAATAAGGAGGTCATTAGCAGGACTTTGGAGAACTTGACTGCACTGAGAAGCTAATTCAGTCATATGATTCAGCTGTGTGGCATCAGAGACACATCTAAAAGTTGCAGGACTCTGGCCCTCGAGGCCTGGAGTTTGACACCCCTGACTTAGGAAGCTGCACTGATCCATCTATCAGTCTCACGCTTTATTCTTCCCTCACTTGTGAACCTCTGATTGACAGTCCGTGTTAATAATAAAGATGGGATCCTAACACAGATGACAAGAATGAAATGAGTTAATGTGTTTTTACCACCTTACCTCCAGTTCTGAAGTTTCTGTGATCATCTCCTTACTTGACACTATGGCCTTCAGGGCTGGTTTGACAGCTATAACTTTAGCTTCCACTTGCTTCGTAATGGTTTTAGTTTCCTGATTGGGTGCAGGTTTTGGAGGTGGAGTGGGGCTGGGTTGTCGTTTTGGCGTGGGTCTTGTCTCTGCTTCGATGGTTGGCCTGCTCCCCTCCCTGGACAGCTTTTTCTTTTCAGAGGTGGACGCTGTTGCTTCATGGACTGATGGAACTCTTTCAGTTTTTACCTTGGGGGCTTTAGGCTCGGGGGTTACAGCTTTGGGAGTCACATTAGAGGCAGGGCACGGTGCTTCTTCTTCATCAGGTGCGATGAGGCTGTTTCTTACAGAGGCTGCAGGTGCTGGAGCAAAGTCTAGAGCTTTTGCTTCAGAGTCAAATTTCTGCAGGGGCTTGATCTCCAGGTCTGTGCTCTGCTCATTTTTGTTGCTTTGACGACTGGGGGAGCGAGAGGGGCCACGACTGCTGGGGGACCCTCCTCCTTCAGGTGTAGCTAATAAGGTTGTAGCAACTAAAGTTGAAGGGGTGGTGGGGCGACTGCTGGTTGTAGTGCTGGGCTTAGAGGGAGCTTTAATAGAACCAACTTTACTGGATTTGTCTTCATTCCAGCCCCTTGGACCGAGGAGTTTGGGGTCCTCCTTGCTGGCGATGGCTGGGCTGGGGGAGGGGGTGCGTCCTGGGGACGAGCCAGGCATGAGGCTGTCCAGTTCATTCAGAAATGGACTCTCAGGTGGTGTGGGGAGGGGCTCCTCATCAGCTAGTAGGGGTTCTTCCTCAGCCAGCAGAGGCTCATGCATGACAGTGTCTGTGTTCTCAGTGTCTTCTACAACCTCCTGAAGCACCCTCTTCTTCATGTACTCAGGACCTAAAGACACAAGGAGGTCAAAATAAAAACAATTTCATAATTATTACATGAGCACAAGTCTGACACCCTTTTGAAAGTACAACCTTATTGAAGATGCATGATAATGTTTTGGCCTGTGTGTAATTGTCTGTTACCATTATATCTCATGAATCAATGAGCAACTTTTACTGAAACTTTCATAAAGCAATAATTGCACATACATCTACAACAGAATACCTGTTATTATGAACTACACTCAAGATGGCTGCCACAACCAACTAACCAATATAACGGTAATAATTCAGTCAATTAAAAAATACTATAAACATTTCTGTGGCAGTAGCAGAGAGGGACCCCAAACACTGTATACACAGACATCATGTATACAGAGACCCCCTGTTACAAAGGCATTGCACGGTATATAGAGACATCCTGTATACATAGTCCCCTCTGATTGTTTTGATTGGTTTCCAAAAGTCCTGGATACTTGCAGTCTGACTATGGTAGGGCTTTAACAGACTACTCGAGTAATCTACACATCGATTCCTAGGACATCTATCGAGTATTTTTTATTTCACGTCGAGTATTCGTGGTGATGTCATTACGTCACTGTTACGTCATTGCGCACCGAGCGCGGGTTACAAAATGGATTCCTCCAAACAAACAGATGGAGTGGAGCAGGCCCAGTCTTGGCAAACAGGTAGAAATGCATCAATAGTCTGGAAATTTTTCACTAAAGATGAATCTTCCGGTTCAACTACCATAAGGAAACAGAAAATTAATCAACTTCCTGACTGTTTGGAGCTCCTTGAGAACCGGTGTTACACCATATTCTGTGACACTGTAGTGAACTTGACCTGATGTCAAATCTTGACCTTAGGATCATATGGTCAGAAACTGTCATTTCATTGATTTGCATCCAGAAATACAGGTTGATCGATCCTGAGACTTTCTTTCTTGAATTAATCAAGTGGAAAAGACAATTCTCTATGATCATTACTATTTTACAAATGTTTTGATAATCAAATTGTGTTAGTTCAAACAATGTTTACATGTTGAAGTGAACTACTCATTTTTATTTACTTAAACAGTAGTAATGATTTTTAATCCTCAATTCAAAGTGAAATCAAGTTAGAGTACGTTACAGAGTAATGATTCAATTTCTTGATCATCTGCTTTGAAGTGAGCAGAGTTGTAAGTGTGTCAAAGTTCAGGTTTCGGTCAACTGAAAGTTTACTGAAAAGAAATGTCATGTTTAACTTTTACAGCAAGATACTTGGTGGAGCGACGCCACTAAGTCTGGTTTTCTCCAACAATCTTTCTGTCTGTTCTTAAACAATCTGAATCTTTTCCTTGACTTTTAATAACACCTTACATCACAAACCACACCTCTGCTTTGGTCCATCGACCAATCAAAAAGCTCTCAAATGAACCGGAAGTGACCCTTCTTAAAAGGTTGGCACTTCCTAGTTCAAAGAAGAGAGTTCAGCTCAGAGAGTTCAGCTCAGTCTTGAAGCTGCTGTAAGCTCAGTCTTGAAGATGGAGTAGCAGTTCAAGCAGAGAGTTTTTGGAATTCAGATGCAGAGAGTTTTGGAAGTCCCAGAATGCAGAACGCTGGCATTCAGGAGGCTGCTGAATTAGAATCAAGCTGAACCAGAGACGATTTTGGGAATTATAACTTCTGTTTGGATAACCTCACACGACTCTCGAGGTCTTTAGCTGTTCTTATGGAGACGCTGAACAGTGGCTGGAAGTGAGACTTCACGCCGGAACTGATCTATCTTCAGAAAAGGTAAAAGTCGACCTTCACCAAAAATGTACTGTTGGGACAAGCTGATTTCCAAAAGAGCGTGCTGTTCTGGTTAAAACAGACAAATTCCCTCACACATCTCTCTGTAGATAAATCTCAATTTTCCATCTTCAAACTCTCCTATCTGCTAGCAAATTAATCCAGATGTTTTCAGAAATGTCTGTGGTGAAGCAACGGAAAATCATGGCCGTATGGTTTTCCTGGTTGTAAAGCTGATTGATTATGTTGTTATTTTCATATTCTGCCAAATTAATGTAAACGTTTGATGTTAAACTTTGATTCTGTAAATAAATGACCACATTCATTTTGATGGGTCAAAGATAAATAACGTCTCACGTCCACATTTTTGTTAAATTCAATGCACGACATCATTCAGTCCAGAAAAATGAAAAGAACTCGTTTTAATGTATGAATATATCTCAGGATATGTCATACTACTACCAACATATATTGTGACCATAGGGGGCGGTGTTGCATGCACTGTTACAGGTCACAGAATATGGTGTAACACCGGGTCCAATCGACCAAACCAGAACCAGCTTCCTCTGACCTTGTTTCACAAACAAAAAGCAAAAAATATTAATCTCTCTATGCATATTTAATTGAATTAACGATAACTAGTTCCTGCTTTTTGGATTCGGCTGGTTTTATCTACAATCAAGGAAGTTGTCGGCAGCAAATTTGGACCCGATCACGCTGCTTGCCTTTATGATGGCTTGGTTCGTGGCTCGAGTACCCGGACTCAAATGCTTTGGGCAGAATGGATCAGATCTTGGGAATTTTACTCAGTCACGTTCCATCGGTGTGGCCATTTAATTTTGACATTTCGGAACCGAGTGGACCAACACAGACTTAAGGTAGATGTCATTAAGTTCTGCCTGTCCCCAAAACAACTGTGTGTTTATCTGAATTTGGCTCCCTTGGCTGGCCTTGAAGGCCACCTTATCTGAATTTGCCTGGAGAACATGTGATCTGATGCTCACCACCTCCTCCCTGAGGAATTTCCAACTGATAACCAGATGGAACCAGCTGAATAAACTTTGTGTCACCATTTCAGAACTCTTGGATTCTCATAGACATTGTCCTTGGCCATTCCACGACATTACTTCCCCCTGAGGCACAAAGGCACACGCTCTATTCAGCCTCTTCTTGACTGCCTGGCTGACATCCGGGACTGGATGGCTTTAAACTTCTTAAGCTTCAATGAGAAGAAGTCTGAAGTCATGCTGTTCCATCCCAGTGGCTCACTCATGAACCATGACATTGACCTTTTCTCTCTAGCCCCGCTAGAGAAACAAAAGGTCACTAATCTGGGGGTGATAATGGACCCGTCCTTAAAACTCAACAGTCACGTAAACATGATGGTCAAATCCTGTTTTTTTCAGCTGAGACGGCTGTCTAAGCTGAAGCCTATACTCTCCAAAAAGAACCTTGAGACAGTGATCCACGCCTTCATAACATCTAGGCTTGATTACTGCAATTCACTTCTGTTTGGAATCAGTCAGTCCTCCATTGCTCGTCTACAACTGGTCCAAAATGCTGCAGCCCGATTTTTAACTGGTACAGGCTATAGAGAGCACATCACGCCAGTTTTGGCCTCCCTGCACTGGCTACCCATTCACCTTCGGATCCATTTCAAAATTCTCATGTATGTTTTTAAATCACTGAACAGTTCCGCCCCATCCTATCTCACTGATCTTCTGCAGCCATATGTCCCACCGCGCTCTCTGAGGTCAGCAGACCAGATGCTTCTCTCAGTCCCAGAAACCCGTCGTAAGCTCAGAGGTGACAGGGCTTTCTCTGTTGCAGGTCCACGACTGTGGAATGAGTTGCCACTGAGTGTCCGGCAGGCTCCCACACTCTCAGTCTTTAAGTCTCGCTTGAAGACCCACTTCTATTCTCTTGCCTTTAACACGTTGTGATTTGTTTTGGTCCGGTCTGTTCTCTACTCTGTTGGCCATTTTAGTTAGCTTCTGCTGCTATTTGTATCTGTATTTCTATTTTATGTTTTCCTGTCTGCTGTGCATGTTTGTTTCTTTTGTACAGCACTTTGGTTGGCCTTGTTGCTGTTTTAAGTGCTATATAAATAAATTGGTATGGTATGGTATGGTATCCCTTGAGAATGTTTATGGATGTCACCGGAGGAAACTGGCTGATTATTCCATCCTCATCCGAACTCTTACAGTGCCCTCGAGAGCGTCTATGGACGTGCTCGCCGCTCTCGTCGTCTCCCCTCTGCAGAAAATCTACGTCACTATGTGCTTGTTTGTGCGAGTTGTTTTTTTTAATATAAGAATTTTTCTTCTCAGGCAAGAAGAAAGAGTCTGATAGGAAATTTTTTCACCTCCAATTCCTACATGTGTCCAGTTTCACTACTTTTTGTCTGTCTAAACAGGTCTCACTTGTAAACGAGTCTTCTAGGCTCAATGTAACTTATCTGTTTAAATAAAGGTTGAATGAATGAAAAAAATGACATGGTCATACCATAGAGAAGCCATGTATCTCTGATTAGTGCTGCTAAAGATGTTCTGATAAACTGATGAATTAAAGGGCTGAAAATGCTCCAAAGAAGTAAACTAACAAAACATTGGTTTTGGATGCCATTTCTCCTTTAGCTTCCTTTGGATGAATTAACACTGCTTTACAATTCAGCCTCAGTTTTTATGATATAAAAAATGACAGTGTAATATGTGATGTTTTCTTGTTACCTTCATGAATGTTATGTCTGTTGTTATAAAACCTTATAACTAAATGTTACAAGTAAACTGAGAGACCCTTATCACATTATTTAATGTAGAAAAAGACTAATTCAGAATGTTAAAAGAATTTTGGCTTCTTTAACGTCCTTTTGTATCAGATAAAGCAGCTGCCATCTAAGTGGATGCTATACTTTTGTATTTACGTGTCAATATCTAATATAGATATATATATATAATATTATCTTGCAATGAAACTGATCTCATCCCTTCAACTAAATAAGATGCTCCTTTTTTTAGACGTTCAAGTTCCGCTCCCCTCGTGGCACATCTCTGCAGAGGAATCTACCATGACATGCACAAAGTTAGGGGTCAAATATAAGCAAATATGCAGGTTGTTGGCAGTTTAATGTAAATAAATTAAATTAAATTGACAGAAGTAAGTGAAAAAGTTGCAACGTCTTTGTCGTAGCTAAGCAGAGGTTTGAATAAAATCCCAAAACATAAACGTTTAGAAGTGGAGGCACATCTGGTGAACATTTGAGTCAGCTATATTAGAACGAGAAAGGAGCGCAATGTCCTGTAGTTGGAACATTTTCATATTCTTCTCACAGGTTTGTCTTGTGGTGAGACAGTGGTGCCTACTGACCTGGCTGGTAGAAGGAAGGAGAGAGCTCTTTGGCCACCAGTCTGGCAATGCTGGACTCACTGTTGGAAGCCTGGCCCGCCTGTTCTGCTCCGTCTGACTTGGCCTTTGCATGGGCCGACCTGCAGGTGAGAGGTGCAACACAAGTCACGAGTCAGCAACAGTCTCTCGTGTTCTCCTTCACCAGAGTTGGATGAACTATAATCTGAAGTTTCATTCAAACAAGTTGGCAGTCAATAAGTTTAAATCAGTGGATCTCAAAATATTTTATAAGAAGTAAAATCTTAAAAAAGACTAAACTTTACAAGTATCACTCATTCAAACATCAAGTTAGGGCCCTCACAAATCAAATCAATGTAAGAAGATTGCTAAAAGAATGTTTCATCATAATTATTATACAGAATAAATACACGGATCAGGCTGTTGCTTCTTCCTGCAGGGGTCGCCACATGGAGCCAACTCGCATGAAAGGTTTGGTAATTATTTTACTCCAGTTGCCCTTCCTGATGCAACCTGGGCTTAAACCTGCAGCCTCAGGATTACAAGACTGTGGCACTAACCACTGAGCTCACACAGCTCAAATAGCCTACAAATAAAATAATCATAATAAATTAATTCATAACGTGTTTTACATAGGTGGTAAGATTTTTGCCTAAATGCCCTTCGTAGATTTAATTGCAAAGTTTGCATTCTTAGACCAGTATTAGAATAGAATAGAATAGAATAGAATAGAATAGAATAGAAACAGTCTTTATTGTCCCACGAATGGGAAATTCAAGTGTATCAGCAGCAACAGATAAAAAGATAAAGAGATTTCACACAAAAGTTCCTAAAATGTTAATAAACAATACAATATATAAAGAAATAAGATAAACAATATCAATAATAATGTTCAATATGTACTGGAACATTGATAAGGACAGACTATTGACAGGACAGTGTTACAGGCAGAGTGTGTGTTTGAGCAGAGGTCAGCATGTATTTAATCCTTGTAGAGTTTGTTGGAGCAGTGATGGTTGTAGAGTCTAACAGGAGGAAGGACCTGCGGTGACGCTCCTTTGTGCATTTAGGAGCAGGAACCTGTCACTGAACGAGCTCTCCAGTTCAGCAACAGCTTCATGGGGTGGGAGACATTGTCCAGCAACGATGTTATTTTAACTAGAGTCCTTCTGTCTCAGCTCCATTATTTAGGGTCACAAGCTTCTATTGCTGTTATTTTGTGGATTGGAAGCTAAAAGGTTTGGGTACTGCTGGCCTAAACATAGCATCTGATGGGCTGCATCTGTTGGTGACTCAAAATAGTATAAATCTTGTAATAAATACACAAACGTTTCATTGCTGTCTCACTGTATAGCGATTAACGAACATGCAACTGTGTTTTGAATAGGGGAGTAACAATACATCGATTTAAATCAAAATATCAATTCAATGATTAATGATTCATTTATTTCGTGGCAAAACTAAAACATCAATTCATATCGTCCTCTGTAAAATATGCTTTTATTTTGAAATTCCCAAGGCACGTCTCTGTCACCATGTCCGTGCGCGGCCACCTCAGCAGCATGGCAGACGAGGCAGAAAACACAGAAAATGAAATTCACTCTCCTGCTGGATTTAAATCAACTCTGTGGAAACATTTTGATTCCGACAGGACGGCTCAACAGACAGAACTCATGTCGTGTGCGACAGGTGCCGTGTGAGTTAAAATACTCGGGAAGCACAACAAATTTTGCCGTTCACCTGAAGAAGAAGCACGGCATTGATAGTCATGTTATGGAAGCTCAATATCTATTTTTGTTTCTTTATAACTGAAAGGTCATCAGGGCACTTTTAAGTTAACTGGTTTAAAAAAAGAACTTAGACATGAGACATGTGAGACTGTACTGAACAGGTCATTCATTTTTCATTAATTAAGATAAAATATATATTTAAATGCCTGGTGCCAGTAATAACAGAAATAAAATGGATAAATCATATTTGAATTGTTTTTGTAAATTTATTTATGTGTAAATGAGACGGGCATTTGATATCATAATATATCGATCGCACACTTGTGAATCGAATAGAATTTAAATCGTATCGTGCCAGACTTTGTGATATCGAGAAAAACTGTATCGTCATACAAACAAATCAATATAATATCGTATCGTGGTAAAGCTGGTGATTTACAGCCCTAGTTTTGAATAATCCACTACTTTTAAATCAGAGCCTACGTTTGTGTGCATGGCTTAAAAAACTGCCTTCCTGGCCGAGCACAATATTTGGTTGTTCACCTTCACCCACGTTACCCATAATGCCCCGAAAATGTTTCAATATCTTAGATCCTTGTATACTGTTTCTTTTTATACTTTAAATTTTTAATAGTTTTGGGTGTAACTGGGACCTTGAGTACACAGTTTTGTTCCACCTCATGTACTACATGTGATGCAAATGACAATAAACTTGATCTTGAACTTCCTGTTTATCACTGCTGTGTTTAGCTTCTCATGAGGTCGGCTGCAGGGCTTTATCCTTCTTTTACATTTTTCCCTGGTTTCTTTATTTTTCAGGGGTGCTGAGATAAAATTTAGGGGTGAACACCCCCAAAAAGAGGCTAAAATCACCACTGGTAGTAACTGAGACTCATCCTCAACACATTCTGAGAGCTAACACAGCGTTATTTAAGTTCAAGTTCAAGTTGATTGTCGTTCGCATCACATGTGGTACATGAGGTGGAACAAAATTATGTACTTGGGGTCCCAGTTACACCCAAAAATAGTAAAAATATAAAGTATAATAAGAAAAAGGTCTGACAAGTTTTACAAGGTCTGACAAAAAGGCGTCGTCTCCACGAGGTCTCATCATAAACTGATCTTTGACTAAAACTCTGAACTTTGAATTGTACTGACTCCAGGAGTTAATTAGTTACAGACACTGACAGTGTTGAATCAGAATCAGAATAAACTTTATTATCATTGCACCGAGATACAACGAGAACATGTACGTAACATGCACGTCCAAAAGATGGGCGGAGTGCACGTAGCTGCTGCTATGGGAGCACGGCCTCTTATTCTTTCCAGAACACTTTTACTTAGATGAGAAAAGGGGAAGAAAACATGAGGAGAGAAGGTATAAAAAAAGATCTCTCCCACCATGTCCTAGACAGGGCACGGTTTGAGGCATCAAAAAAATCTACCACAGCAAAGAAACATAAATACACATAAAACTTATGAGGCCGGTGAAGGCATTGAGTATTAGGGGAAGGCTGTTGCATAGTCCAGAGCCCCCCTCAGCCATTGTCCAGATTAGAGGTGTTAGTTATCATCAGCTCAGTTCACGTTCTGTCACATGTCCACAGCCTTGGGGAAGGGAGGGGTGAGGAGACGTCTTTGTTTTTTCTAAACATGCCAGGAGGAATTGAGATAGTCCATCTTCAAGGCCAGGTCCAGATCCACAGTTTGGGTCAGGCAGAACTCATAAATTGCTGTTTCTGCCTTTTAAAGTCTTGCTAGTACATTTCTCTGATGGTGAATCCAAACAGCTGGATTAATTATTTACGCTGAAAGTCGAGCTTATAGCTTCTCCAAGATTATTCCTTCCAACCGTTCGTGGGTGCTGCCAGAAAGTTCACAGTCCTGATATCAGCCTGCTTCAGCTTTGATGCAGCTCCATAGTTCACATAGTCTGAGTGCTGCCAAGCCTCGACACATTCCACACAGATTTGTAGACGTTCCAGATTTCACCAACCCAAACAGCAGAATCCAGTTGTCATCATGAATCCATTTTGTTTCCGTCAAGGTAAGAGGGTCCTCCATTCACCCTGACTTCCTGTCGGGAGAAGTTAATCAATTTCGTTGAGAGACCAGCTGATCAAATCCATTGAATTAGGAAGGTATGCAGAAAAAAGATAAATAAAGGTTTCACAAGACAAGGAAGCAAATCAGGAGAGCGGGGGGGACGGAGCAGAAGAGGACGCGTCTGCTTCCACCGAGAGCACAGAGAGAAAACAGTTAACAGTTGTAACAGTTAGTGCCGAAGTTTGAGGCAAAGCTCGAGTGCAATTTTTAGCACTCAGAATATGTGTTGGGGTTAACTCTCAGCTACTACCACATCAAATTGTAACTTATTATCTGTTAAAGCAACAGCTTTGCATTTTCCAAGATCAATTAGTTGTGGCAGTAATCATGAGTCGAGTAAACTTCAAAACTTAAATAACTGTAGATGTACACCCGGAGATTATTTTCAGAAAATTTCATTTGAATCTGGCCAGTGGTTCATTACATATTTTGCTAACAGTTAAGACGGGCAGGCAAACACATGGAAGGCAACAACATCTGATCTAAAATGATGCAGAAAAACTGGTCCATGCATTTGTCACATCTAGACTGGACTATTACAATGGTTTATTATCTGGGTGTCCAAATACTTCTTTAAAACGTCTTCAGTTGATCCAAAATGCTGCTGCCAGAGTCTTAACTGGACTTACTGGGAGAGATCATATCTCTCCAGTTTTAGTTTCTCTCCATTGGCTCCCTGTCAAATCCAGAATAGAATTCAAAATCTTACTTCTAACCCACAAAGCTCTCAACAACCTAGCTCCATCTTATATTAAAGATCTTACTGTTCCATATTTTCCTAACAGAGCACTTCGCTCTCAGACTGCAGGTTTACTTGTGGTTCCTAGAATTTACAAAAACAGAATGGGAGGAAGATCTTTCAGTTCTCAGGCTCCTCTCTTGTGGAACCAACTTCCAATCTCTGTCCGTGAGGCTGACACATTATCCAGTTTTAAAACTGGGCTTAACACTTTCCTTTTTGATAAATCCTATAGTTAGGGTCGGCTTGGGTTTCCTGAGCTGTCCCTTAGTTATGCTGCTATAGGCTTAGACTGCTGGAGGACAAACTGACCACACTTTTCACTCTGCTGCTGTCTTTACTTACTCTGCTCAACCTGTTTTATATTTGTAATTATTTTTTCTATCATTAACATGTGTTTGTTTGTCTTTCAGGTACACCTGGACCTATATCTGGACCTGGACCTATACCTGGACCTGGACCTATACCTGGACCTGGACCTATACCTGGACCTGGACCT